GGAAGTGCTGAGGTGAGAGGAAGTGCTGAGGTGAGAGGAAGTGCTGAGGTGAGAGGAAGTGCTGAGGTGAGAGGAAGTGCTGAGGCTGGCACTGGCTGCTCAGTCTCTTCATTAGCATCATAGGGGGAGGCCTTCCTCATAAAGAGCTGTACCTAAGTCTCAGGCAGAAGGGCCCTCCATACTCCTGGCACTCATCATGAGCTCTGTTGGATACCCTCCACTCCTACCCCCTCAATAATGGGCTATCAGCAGGTGTTTCCAACTCCTTTTAGTCTTCAGAAGGCTACTGGGTAGACATGAGAATAGAAACTCAATTCTCAACTCCGTGGTTCTCAGAGGTGTCTGGGTGCCCAGGAGTTTGAGAACTACAGGATAAACTGGGAGAGTGCTTTCAAACCCAGACTGCAAGTCAGGGCTACGTGCACCCCTAGTGGCAGAAGCTATCATAGCAGTCAGAGCACATTTTAACTTCCAAGTCAAAGATACCAGGCTTTCTCCCCCTAGCTAGCACACATTGAGAGCTATTACACTCACTAACAACACTGACTCTCCCTGTGAGCAACAGGAGGATGCCATAAACTTCCTGTCCAACCCATAGAATCTTAAGGGTAATATGGGCATTGAGCACTGCAGGGAAGATTTATTCTGACTTGTGTGATGCGTGAGCCTGAGCTACTGAGAATGGAACTTTCACTCAGCAGAACTCCCACCCCACCTTCCTGCTCAGATTCTGGGCCCTACTTAGGACTGACCATGGCAGGGCACCACAGGCTTCAGACAGACTGCAAGGTGGCTGAGAGAGAGAAGAGAGAGTAAATTGGTGGAGGTGGAGGAGGCCAGGAGGTAGCTTTTGATTTCCTGAGTTTTGGGAAGAAGAGTAGGGGCCAAGAATTTGAGTTTTGATTTCTTGAAGCTGAGAGGAGGGAAGGGACTATGGGGACCTTCTGTGAGAGAGGAAGTGAGGGGAGCAGGGGGTGTGACAGTGACACTTAGGACTCTCTGGCCTCTGCCCATTCCTCGGATAAAGTGTTATATATGGGACATCCCAGACCACTCCACTCTGAGGGTGGAGGTAGGGGGCTGGGAGTGGCACAGCTGGCCAGATGCTGGAAGGTTGAAAGGTATCCTAGGGAGAACTCCTCATCCACAAAGAGGGGTCAGGTCCCCAGCTCACAGTCAGTTGTTGAGTTCTGCCCAGAATTCCTGACCCCGACTGGAGCCTCTGTCCTCCCTACTTAGAAAAGTAGGCAGTACTGCTTAGGCGGGAGAACAGCTGGGCACTCCTCGGGATTCGGCAGCGGAGTCTCCATGGGTCTGGGCAGCCGCGCCAGGCATTCAGAGTTCTTGGATAAGTTGGCCTTGTGAGGAGCTGGCAATAATTGATTCAATCTCTAGGTTTTCTGTACACACTGAGAACCCTGAGTAGCTTTACTAAGGAAGAGTTGGCCTGCCATATCCTTTATGAAGGCTTTACTGCTAACGACATTCTGGACCAAAAAATCAATGAAGTCTCTTCCTCTGACGATAAGGATGCTTTCTATGTTGCCGACCTCGGAGGCATTCTAAAGAAGCATCTGAGGTGGCTAAAAGCTCTTCCCCGTGTTACTTCCTTTTATGCAGTCAAGTGTAATGACAGCAGAGCCATAGTGAGCACCCTGGCTGCTATCGGGACAGGATTTGACTGTGCAAGCAAGACTGAAATACAGTTGGTGCAGGGGCTTGGGGTGCCTCCAGAGAGGATTATCTATGCAAATCCATGTAAACAAGTGTCGCAAATCAAGTATGCTGCCAGTAATGGAGTCCAGATGATGACTTTTGACAGTGAAATTGAATTGATGAAAGTCGCCAGAGCACATCCAAAGGCAAAGTTGGTTTTACGGATTGCCACTGATGATTCCAAAGCAGTTTGTCACCTCAGTGTTAAGTTTGGTTCCAGACTCAAAACTAGCAGGCTTCCCTTGGAATGGGCAAAAGAACTAAATATTGATGTCATTGGTGTCAGCTTCCATGTGGGCAGTGGATGTACTGACCCTGAGACCTTCGTGCAGGCAGTATCAGATGCCCGCTGTGTATTTGACATGGGAACAGAAGTTGGCTTCAGCATGTATCTGCTTGATATTGGTGGTGGCTTTCCTGGATCTGAAGATACAAAGCTTAAATTTGAAGAGATCACCAGTGTAATCAACCCAGCTCTGGACAAGTACTTCCCAGCAGACTCTGGAGTGAGAATCATAGCCGAGCCAGGCAGATACTATGTCGCCTCAGCTTTCACACTTGCTGTCAACATCATTGCAAAAAACAAAACGTGTGGAAGGAGCAGACCGGCTCCGACGATGAAGATGAGTCAGATGAGCAAGCCTTCATGTATTATGTGAATGATGGAGTATATGGATCATTTAACTGCATTCTTTACGATCACGCACATGTGAAGGGCCTGCTGCAGAAGAGACCCAAGCCAGATGAGAAGTATTACTCATCCAGCGTCTAAGGACCAACATGTGATGGCCTTGATCGGATCGTTGAGTGCTGTAACCTGCCTGAAATGCATGTGGGCGATTGGATGCTGTTTGAGAACATGGGTGCATACACCGTTGCTGCTGCTTCTATTTTCAATAGATTCCAGAGGGCAAACATCTACTATGTGATGTCACGGCCAATGTGGCAACTCATGAAGCAGATCTAGAGCCATGGCTTCCCACCGGAAGTGGAGGAGCAGGATGTTGGCACTCTGCCCATGTCTTGTGCTCAGGAGAGCGGGATGGACAGTCACCCTGCCGCCTGTGCTTCTGCTAGGATAAACATGTAGATGCCATTCTTGTAGCTCTTACCTGCAAGTTTAGCTTGAATTAAGGCATTTGGGGGGACCATTTAACTTAATGACTGCTAGTCTGGAATGTCTTTGTGAGAGTAGGGTGGCACCGATGCAGTATGGAAGGCTAGGAGATGGGGGTCACACTTACTGTGTTCCTATGGGAACTTTGAATATTTGTTTTATATGGATTTTTATTCACTTTTCAGACATGATACTAATGTGTGTCCCTCAGCTGCTGAGCAAGCATTTGTAGCTTGTACATTGGCAGAATGGGCCAAAAGCTTGTGTTGTGACCCATTTTGAAAATAAAATATCTTGAAATAAAAAAATTAAATTAAATTAAACAGCTCATACTAATATAGGGTTTTCCTTTTTATCTATGTGCCATGTCTGTCTCCTCTCTACCCAAACACAGTCCTTCCTTCCCCAAGACAAATACTTAATTCTAAGATTACCAGCCCAGGGATGACACCACGAACAATGGGCCTTCCCCTTGATCATTAATTGAGGAGATTCTTTATAGCTAGACCTCATGGAGGCATTTCCACAAGGGATGCTCCTTTGTCTGTGATAACTCCAACTTGTTCAAGTTGACACACAAAAGCAGACAGTACAAGCCTGAAATTAAAAGCCTCAGCCCACCCAAACCAAGTGTTCCCCACTCTGAGCTGGCTAACATGAGGTAGCTAGTGTGTCAGGCTGAAAGGGCAGAGATGTGAACTGGCAGCCCTGACTCGGTGGACTCACTGTAACAAAAGAAAACAGAGATCTTGGCTTTTAGAATGAATGGTTTATTGGACTCAAAGGCGGGACATTGAGTGGCACACCTGAGAACCCAGCAGGACCCCAGAGTTTTATATGTGGATGGTGGTTGCATAATATCTTGAAATTCTGCATCTCCCTTGTGCTGTCTACATGCCTTCAGGGCCAAGAACATCAAGGCACAACAAAATGACATTCCAGGAAATACAGAACTGAAAGCCCTAGAGAGGTGTGGGGCACCTACCCATCCATAAAGGGCCTATAAAGTAGAGACAAGGTGTTCCACAACCTACCAATACCTCAGAGCTTCTATAACTCATAGTTCATCACTAGAGGGCTCAGGGATGCAGTTATAAGACATAAGGATAAAAGGATAAGAGTGGGGATCGGTGGAAGGACCATCACAGCAAGGTTTGCAGGAGGCCTGAGCCCAGGCTGAACAGAAGCACTCCTTGGACGTGCTGTGGTCCGGGTTCTGGTTCCAATGGGAACTTTTGCATTGCAGAGGTCTTCATTGCAACAGAAAACCTTCATGTGGAGAGTAGTACCCAGCTTCGGGATTTGTTCAAGATCAATAGGGCACTCTGGAAGGCACGCATTGCCCTTTACTTTAGTTATTTTAGAGCCTGCAAGACATCAGGGAGTGACTCAGTTCTGATGCAGGGACAACAGAGCATCTGAAAGCCTGGGCCACATGTCACCAGGCCTGGATGGCCCAGACTTGTCTCTAAGGCTTGTTGAAGCCAGACATGGTAGCTCAGACTTGTGATTCCAGAACTTGCAAGACTGAGGCAGGAGAATTTTTATGAGTTCAATCCCGAACTGGGCTACATGGGAGCTTCTAGGGTATCCTGGGGCTAGAGGCACCAAATCAAGTAACAAAGGAAATGAAAATGCAAACCATGGTCTGTTAAGGAGGCTTGGTGGATAAAGTGCTTGTGTGGACAAGCATGAGCCCCCAGTTCTGATCACTAGAGCCCATCACAAGATGGACAGGCATGGTGGCCTACTTGTATCTCTGTGCTTAGGATAAAAAGATGAAGATCTCTGAGGTAAGCTCAGGGGCTAGACCAGCTGAACCTGCAAGCTTGCAGTTCCATGTGAGGTCCAATCTCAGTAAATAAAATAGATATCGTAGAAGACACCCAATATTTTCTGGGTCCCATACATGGTACCACCACAGGGCATGTACATTCACACATGTACACACATGTGCCTTACACTCAATGTGCTGGGGAAGCAGCTCAATCAGTGCAGTGGAAGCCTAAGGATGAAAGATCAATCCCCAGCAACCATGTAAAGAGACAGCCAAGCAAGAAAGTGCTGGTTATGATCTCAGTGCCCGGTGGTGTAGGGGGAATCAGGAGGTCCTAGGAACTCTGTGATACCTTCCTCCTCCCCAACCCCAACATACTTGGCAGATCCTAGGTCCCAGTGAAAGACCTTGTCTCAAAAAACAAGATGGTAGGGACTGGAGACTTGGCTGAGCAGTTAAAACACTTATTGCTCTACAGAAGCCCAGAGTTTGGTCCCCAGATCCCACATGGTGGTTTACAACCATCTGTCATTCCAGTTACAGGGGGAATAAACTCATTTGCATAAAAAGTAGAGTGTATCTGAGGAATGGTACTTAAGGATGTCTTCTGAGCTTTACACAGATTAAATCACACACATTCATACTTGTATACCTACATTAATACATAAACACATACACACACACACACATCACAAAGATATCCCAGGCAGTTATATCTAGGAGACCTGCTCCAGGAGACAGGCAGGCTGTGGTCAGAACAGGAAACTGGATAGCAGGGTGGGGCTGCTCCTGCCTTGTCTATGTGGAGGATATGCCTGGAAACTGGCACTTTGGAGGATCTGAAATGTCCTAGGGTCTCTTCTATCAACATCCCTAAGTCAGTCCTTTAGCCTAAGCCCCAGATTCCTTCATTAAATGCAGAGTCACTCAATGCTTCCAGCTCTCCTGGTCCATCAGTGAGCCTGTGAGACCTCAGACACAACATACAGGCAGGGGCATCACATGACTACACTGGTGACACAGGGGGATGATGAACACCATGCATGCCAATGGGCAGCCCTGCCTCATGATCCCCATCCCAGCGCATCCCTGGAGCCCGACATCCATCAGTGTGCAGGAGTCCCACTCTGACTCCAGGACAGCTCGTCTTGGAGAGAGGGGAACCATGGTCCGTAACAAGTGCCCAGACATGATCTTTCCCCCAAGACAACCTGACCAATTTTTATACAGTCCACTTACCCACAGTAACTTCTGCCTCCTGAGCAACACAGACTCCATTGGGTTCAGAACAGTTAATTGATGATGAACAGGTAGCCTCAATAGGGAGCCCCTGGCAATTGTAGCACTTCAGCCCCTGAGCTAAGATAGAAGCCAATACATGAGGACTAGGACATGCCCTTCCTAGCCCAGACCCCTCCTCTACAATGTCTCTACTACCCTATAGCTGCTGGCCACTAGGACAGAGCAAGGACATTACTGCCCATTCACCTCCACAAAAAGCAAAAGTGAACCAAGAGCCACAGTTCTTCAAATATGTTGGGTCCTGCTGTCTCAGGGTTTGTGGCAGAGGTTGTGATGTCCAATACTTCTGGCAGCTTTACAGACCCAACAAGCACCCCAGCACAGGAAGCTTCACCCACCACAAGCCAATCCCCAATCCCCTGATCCAAGCACAACTTGGGTTCGGGGCACACAATGGATGTGCAGGTGTACCCCCAACCCTGAGGCCTTTTTCCATTTTATGCCCCTGCCCCTCTCTCACTTTCCATCTCACCTCTTTGTGCACACAGTAGGGCCACAAGAAGGATGAGCACACAGGACTTTGTAGCCTGAGAACTGTTCATCCTCAGAGAAAGGGTGCACAGATAAAACCTGGGAAGTCGGAGTCAGTTAATAGAGCCCAATCACATCCCTGGGCTCCCACAGGACTCAGGCATCCAACCTTCCCTCCCTCCAACCCTCCACACAACTCTCCCCAAGGAATAGAAGCATGCCTACTTCTTTTATGCACCACCCACCCAGCTTTTCTTCCTAATCCCAGACTCCCACCCACAGTCCTATCCTGAGGGCTCTTCCCTTTGCAAAATAGCAGCTCCCTCCTGACACCAGTGTTTACTTCCTCTCTCTGACCAGGTTGCAGGCTCTGTGGAAAGTCCTGTCAGATGTGGACTGAAGTGAGTACTTTCCCTCAGCTCCTCCCATGTGGCATCCTGAAAGGGAGGGTTTCAGTACTTAATTCTGATAGGACAACATGTTTATTGCTTATGAATTATCAAGGTTTGTTGGTGACCTGGTCAAGCCAGATTTATAGCTGTTGGAGAGGGAGATTCATGCAGTTGGGAGGGAGAACCATGGAGTTGGGGAGGGAGGACCATGCAGTTCGGGTGTGACCATGTTTCTGGAGGATTGAGAGGGAAGAAGGGCATTGACTACAATTATCTTGGGCTTGCCTTTCATAAAGCAAGGGAAGGAGGCAACTTACTCAGCCTTTTTTGCTTTCTTTGATTTGCTTCATGTTTTGTTGTTGTTGTTGTTGTTGTTTTGAAAAAGAATTTCTTTGTGTAGCTTTGGCTGTTGTAAGACTCACTCAGTAGACCAGGCTGGCTCGAACTCATAGCTATCAAAGGCATGAACTGCAGCTGCTATGGCTTCTGACACTACCAACTGGCTCTTCCCTGTTTTTAAGTAGAGGATATGGGCTGTAGTGGCTCAGAGCCCACTGCCTTCCTTCCTATAAACTGTAAAAACTGACAAATACCTGGAGACTGGCTCTGGTGAGCAAGCCCCAACAGGGTCTTGTATCCACAAAGTGAGAGTCCTGAGCCAAGAACTAACTGACACCTGGGATGTAAGTTACTAAGCAGTGTCTGATGTGTTTGGGTGATGTATGGGGCTGCGGGTGCTGTGAGCATCTCATAGCTAGAGCCAGGGATGTTTTTCATAGCACAAGGCAGTTGTATGCTGAGGATGAATGACTCCAGTGTCCCTGCAGCCCAGAAACCTCCATGAAGAAGCCACATGTTCATTCTTTCTACTCCAGTTTGTATGTTACATGCCCCTACACCTATGAGGTCCTAGTCTAATGTGTCCCAAAAAGGACTGCCTGGCATTTATGTCACTATCATGTGGCAAAGTATTCTATTAACTAAAACCTTACAAATTTGCCAAATATTGATGGTGTCTGTGGCCCAGCCCTGGTATGAGCAGCAGCGCCCCCTACAGCAAGCCAGAGTCTGAGTTTCCTAAACCCATGGAGCTTAGAGCCCAGTGGTTAGTCGCACATAAGTGTCTGCAAGGCACTGATAAAAGTTAGAGAAGGAAGGCTGGACACAGAAAGTGACCTGAGCTGGAAATCATCCTGAGATGACACCACAGCAACAGAACAGGGATGCTCACAGGACAATGTCCCAAGATGGACCACAGAATCAGCTAAGCTGAGCACATCCACTTAAGCAGGCAAGGCTGCAAAGGGAAGGAAGCAAGAGACTCAGAGAACAGCAAGCAGATTCTCCTGATGGAATCCACAGGGCTGAAACACAGTCTTGGTCTTTCTATCATTTCTGGTTGGTTCCACAAGTACATCCAACTCCAGTGTCAGTGTTCTGTGTTACACAGGATGATTGATCAAAGAAAGAGACACTGTAGGCTTAGTCGGGATTCTCAAGGAGCAGTTAGGAATCAGCCTTTCCAGGACTGAATACCAAACCAAAGATTGCTTCAAATCCTTGGAGCCATCACTCCATAATTCATGTAAGACACAGTGGTTCTGCTAACATTCTGTAACATGCCCTAGCACCATTACAAAATCCCTTCCTTGTTACCCTTTAATCTATGTTGGAAGCAAACAATGTTTGTCACCAACACCTCATAACCCAGCACAGTGGTAGGAGGAAGAGAGCAAACACAACAAGTTTTCTCTGTAATTCCTTCACATGCTGCCCTAGGCATTGACTCATGCGTGAACAAGTATATATGTGCAGCAAAGTGCAGTAGACAGCAAGACTCTGCAAAGAAACATAGGACGTCAATGACAGAATCAAGTAGCAATCCCTCCCAATTTCACTCCTCAATGAGTTTAAGTGAATTTTTTACAGATGAGTGAGATCACTTACAGGAACATGCAGAATTTTTGAGCCGCTAAGTCACCACTAAGTCTTACCCAGTTATGGAAGCAGTGTCATGGTGTCGTTCTTTAAGTTACCCTTCTAGTTTCTCTATGTTCTAGCATTTTCTAAGACCACTTGTGGCTGGAGGGGACAAGGAGGGAGTAATGGCTGGAACCCCAGGTGACTGTCCTCTCTTCTGAGAATAGAGAGTTCTGTCCATTATCACAGACCTGTTGCTGTTTTGCTCTTCTCACTTCAGTGCCAGGGATCCTGGACCAGCGTTATCCCTACTCCAGGATGCCAATGGGGCCATCACCTTCTCTTTGGAGGAAAAGGCCGTATAACCACAGCACTGCACACTGTTTCCATTAAAGTCTTAAACTAGGGGTTCTCATGAGTCCTCTCCATGTTCCACCCAGCACCACTGTTGGGGAGCTAGCTTCCCTTAATGGTGGACTCCTGCCCAAACTACTGACAGACCACGTAAATTAACTATTAAGGGAGAGGGCAACAGTGTACTTGTATAATCTTAGAGTTAGAGGTACCTGAATGTGACTAGGCTCCTGTTAGAGAAGCCAGGCCCATTGCACAAAGAACTACAAGTAAGACAAACACACCCAGAGCTCTCTCCTGCCTTCCAACTCAGCCAGAGGCCTGACTACTGTTACAATGAATAAGTCACACATTAGCCAAGCCCATTCCTCTCCTCAAAGAATGAATGACCTCTGTTAAGTAGCCAAGGTCACATATGCCTCCCTCACCACCTTGAGTCAAAGGTTACATGTTAACTAAGTGAACTTCATGGAAATGCCACTTGCCCCTCCCCCATGGGCTGTGGTCTCAGGATGCAGAGGAGCTGGGGAGCAGGGTGTTGCAGGGCAGTGAGTGTGGTGGGTAGACATGATTGAGAAGACTGTGTTGGAGGTCAGCTCCGTTATTGAAATAGAAGGGTAGATTATTTAGCCTGAGTCAGGTGAAGGGGAGGAAAGAGATGAGTTAGGAAGTGCCACAGTGGGCCAGAGGCTTCCAAGTGATCATCAGACTGTCAATCAGATCATTTCTAAAATGACAGTTCTCTAGTGGGGAAACAGAAGCCTAATTGGTTTTGTTATGTCTTGGCTTTCGTCTCTATGGAGTTGAGTAGGCCTAAGCCTGATTTGGGTGGGGAGCAGCCCCACTCCTGCAGTGCTCTAGGAGAGCTGTCCATGGGTATGGTTAGTGTTAGCATTCCTTCTTGGCTCTGCCCTTCAGTTACCTGGCAACAGCCAGGTGTGCCTGACTCACTATAACAGGGCCTGCTTGCCCCCTCCTCACTCTCTTCTCTTGCTCTCTTCCTCTCTTCTCCTTGTCCCTTCTTCCATATTCTGTTTCCCCCTCTCTTTCCACTGTCTCATAGCTGGACTCTACTCCTCTTCTCTCCCTCCCCATCTCTCCCTCTCTCTGTTCATCTCTGCTTTTCTCTGTCTCTACTTCCAGAACTCCCCTCACTATGCCTTAAATAAACTTTTTTCTCTACTATACAATCCTGTGGCTGGTAACACAGGGGAAGGGTTGCCTCAGCATAGGTACTCAGAGGCATTCTCTGGGCCTCTACCAAACATATCCCTGGCTTTCTCTTTCTTTGCATAGCAAACAATTGTCACTACCCAGTTCTCTTATGGACCTCATAGTGATCAAGCTTGTTTCAAATTTGGCTGCAAAATGTGGTAGTGGTCTTCTTCTCACCAGGTTACCTAACAGTGAGCAGCCAGTCTGAGGTTCAGCAGTCATGGGGCAGCATCATTGCAGGAGCCTTTCATAAGAACAACAGGTCAGTGGTGTGTGCTGGTTCATGACCAAACATAAGCCCTAGATTCTTCCCTTCTCAACCTCATGGCTTTTTTCATATCCTCTTTTTCTTGTTATTTTTGTGAGTTACAGTTTTAAGAACATGTGTCCATTTTGATTCTGAAAACTTACTCTGTATCTCTGTCCATCTGTCTGATGAGGCATGACACTTTCCTCTTGCTAAGGCCATCTCTAGGTTTAATTAGAATGCGATGTTCTTCATGGAGATTGAATTGAAAAGTACCTTGTTCTATTCAAGATCAAGGTGTCCTAGATAAGTTATCTTAGCCTTTATTAAAATTATCTGTTTGTGTGAAACAACTCCCCTACACTGGCTAATGGATCTTCTTAGCTTCTGTTAAAATCACATTCTTCAAGGTGCTTACTTCTTCAAAGCCCCCTGTACCTGAGATGCCAGAATGTGGTTTCAGCCTTTAACAACTCTACATTCTAGACCCTCGGGAAAACAACTAGGTACCCATCACTTTACACTCAGTGTCAATGTGTGAATGACCATTTCTGGCGAGCTTCCAGTAATATCTGTTACATTGGACATGGTGACACAAAAATTCAGTATCACCTCAAAGGTGATAAAAGACAGTTCATTCTGAAGCCAAATATGAATGAGGGTGGTCTGGGGGAAAGCCTTAGGGTAAATCCAATAAATTATTTCTCTGCCAGTAAAAGGAGACAATTAAAGCCAGATTTTATATATATATATATACACACACACACACACACACACACACACACACATATGCAGGTTTATAGGAAAGATAATCTCAATCAGGTTCACTGGTCCCAAGAACCAAGGCAAGAGAAGTCACTATGGGGAGGGAAGAAGAGAGAAAGCAAGAAAATTCAAAACATGTGCAGAGAAAAAGAAAGAGGGAGAGAAAGAGAGAGAGAGA